GGGGGGGGGGTCCGCAATCTCTTACTTAAAGACGATGACTTAATCACTACTTGACTGATGACTCAGAATTTCACTAAAGTGTTAAGAAAGGCTTGTGAATGTGTCTCTTTTGTGGCCTGCTGAAGTGTTCAAGTGTTTGACCACCACTGTTTGATTTTTCACTTTGGTAAAGCCCTGATCTCTCAGATCAGACCTCATATGTAGTTGATTAGCCCTCAAGAAACGCGGAGAGGAGTTATTTGGGATGCGTCAGGTGAAGTGATTATGACGACGTCCCAGGATTTGTAATTGCTCTCCTCAGCCACGGCCAATAGAGTTATAGCTTTATTCTTTGATCTGTGGAGTGCTCCTCCGCCGGTCATTAATAGAAGATTAGCCGAAATGTGATTGGTAATAACATTAGTAGCAGGCCAAATGGGGTTAGAGTTTGCAGAGTGTAACAAAATAAAACCCAGTGCCTGAAGACACACAGAAATCTGAGACCTATAGGTCCAAATTTGTACTTGTCAAGGTTTTTTAAACAGCCTAGTTCATATCCAATTCCAGTCAATGGTCTGTCAGTCAAACATCTATTGTTTTTTTTTTGCCAAGTGTGCAAAAGTTTTATGCAGGTCATTCAAATCCTAAACATCTAAATCACATTCTTGCAGGTTTAAGGAGAAAGAAAGGCTAAAAATGTGGCATCTGTACAAAGATGAATGGGACTATCATTTGCAACAAATTAGTCCAGTTGTTTCAAATTCTAGAGTAAGGATGGTTTAAGCTTGATGCATGCTTGCTTTCCTCCTTATCCCTGAAATGTAACTCTCCTCTATCACATTCTCTCCAGTGAGGTCCCTTTCATGAAGCCCTCCCCTTTCTCCTTCCTAAACCATCAGTGGCAGGCTTACGCTTGGATCTCATTTTCTTATGAGTCATGTAACAGGCGAGTAATAATCTGTATGCTTACATGGGTTTCACTTTGGCCTCTTCGCTGGAAGCGCTTCATTTCTTTCATGCTGATCCAAGTCATCATGTACCACTTATACAGAGGTGACACTGAGACCTTCTTTAGGAGTGCTTTTGCGTTTTCTCCTGCTTACCATGAAACAACACTTACACTGTCACCAAACACTCGGCTCCATCATAAAATGATGGGGAAAAAACTCTGACGCAACATTTATTCTTCTAGAGCTGAATTACTCAGTATTACTAAGCATTTCGTATTACTGAATTACTAAGTAATTTAATCACAACAGAAAAGTTGATACTTGTTGCTCATGTGCAATGGCACCTGTAGCAAAGTGACTACATCATATGCTGTAATTTGTGTACTTATAGATAGCAAAAAAGTGGCCAAAAATATCCTCTTGAGAGCAATAATTGCATTTACAGAAAAAGTTATGAAACTATGTGGCACCCCATGTGTTTTGTAGCATGTCTGAACTTTTGCTGTTTGACCAAAATGAGTATTTTCCATCGGCCTTGTGAGTTCGCCAGCTGAGCGAATTGAAAATTCACTCACCTTTTTGACTTTCATCACAGGATTTAGAACAGCCTTTTATCCTATCCCTCCATATAGGCTACATATATTTGGAACAAAAAATCTTAACCCTATCTCTATAAAAGGAGGATTTAGGCCAGCCTTTGTCTCAAGCAGAATGGAGTTAAGGCCATACGTAAAGGCCTTTCTTAACATATGAAAAAATACAGAACAGACAGACATGATGCTTTGCAGTCCTGTCTGGAAAACCTGACACAGCTGGGCACAATGCAGGCAAAGCAGACTATACTATATATCTCCCACTGCTGTGGAAGGACTGCCCCAGCAGCAAAACAGTGGTGAGGCTCACAGAAAGATGACTCATCAGCATTTTGTTTTGATTTGCACACACCAGAGGAGTTTCCTATACAGCCGTCTGTGTGTGTGTGTGTGTGAGAGAGAGAGAGAGAGAGAGGGTATGTGTCCGCTTGGGCGTGTGCACTTGATGACGCAATTGATGCTGAGCGGGGTGCGTAAGGATCTGTGCTTGAACATGTGAGGCAGCAAAGTAAAATGGACTTCTCCTTCTCTCTCGGTGGTGCGCGCACTTCACAAGATCCCCCCGTGCTCTGAGGCGCTCTCCATCGGCAGCCCGCTGATGCACACATGCATTGGCAGGAAAAAAGAACAGGGGCTGTTCTATTGTACCTGCAGTAAGCCCTTTTTTCCCCCCCATTTGTCCTCGCTAATGGATTGGAACAATCTAAAAATAATGGCGAGATGACACACATCAGCAGGTGCAGGGGACTGTGAATGACTGAGAGCGTGTCCACGTTCCAGCGGCGTTGGAGTTATCTGTTGAAACTGCTGGCGCTCTGGTATTATTTGCACCACGCTTGAGCAGCAGATGCCTTCACTCTCTGATGAGGGACTCAGCTCATTGCCGCATCCTTATTTGTCCGCTTATCTGTGAATGAGCTTCCGTGCAGGTCATGATGCTCAGGAGGTTCAGCACTGAGAAAGAGAATGAGACACCTAAATCTCTAAATCTTGGTTGCAGTTTCTAAATTGAAACCAGAATTAGCTTTAGCCAAGGACGCACTCTCGAGCGAGCCCCGAGGTCCATACAGAGTCCGTTGATATAGCCTCCTGCCCACTTGGTAGAGAGTCCATAGCTGAAGAACACCATTCCCCTGATTCTGACTGTGTGGCCTGCTGTCGTTTCAGTCACATTAAAGATCAAAACGTGCTTCTTATTATCACAATAGAGTAAAACCTGTCCTTCCACATTTGTGCCTTTATGCGGCAGTGTGATGTACATATGCATATGTTCACTGAATTATAAGGCAAATGAGCATGTGATACACAGACTCTCAAGCAGCCGCTTTAAATGGGGCACCGGTCGTCATAGAAACCCTATCTGGTCGTGTTTGAGTCACAGCACATGTCATGAGACGGCGATCCGGCGACATGCACGGACGTCCAACGCACAGATAGTCGTATACAGACACTTGGAGACGCACACTTGGAGACGCACACACACTGACCGGCTTCTGCTCCGAGCAGGAGGGGACACGAACACGGGTTCAGAAGTGAGGAAGCGCAAAGCAAAATGAAAGAAAGGGCCGAGGAGCCTAAGATGGGGGAGGAAACGAGGGAGCGTGAAAGGGTGGGCATGCCAGAGAAAGAGGAGAGGCAATGGCAGAGCAGAGAGGGGAACGGGAGACGCCACGGGCATCATATCAAAGCGCCCGCTCTATCCGGACGCTCGGACAGAGGGGCCTGTGTGTGTGTGTGTGTGTGTGTGTGTGTGTGTGTGGATGTTCCCACTGGGTTGATTTTGCACCTGTTGTTCCAGGGAAGCGGTTTTACAACCACAAAAATTAGCATCAAACTGTTTCTCGGGACCTTGAGGTCATGGAAAAGATGAATAGAATAGTTTTCAGCCCTTGCAGTTGCAAAATGGACTCCTCACTTCGTTTGTGTCGTCAAGAAGAGAAATTCTCCAAGAACAGTTTTGGATACTTAATCTAATGCACTCTCATCAGGGTCATATGATATCAGTAATACAGAACATTGCTTTATCATCACACATTGCAAATAAAAACGACAGAAAAACAGTGTGGTATAAAGTGCTGTTAAAGGATGCTCACGCTCACCCTTTCATGCACTGGTAGATACATTGTGGCTACAAGGAAATGTGCGACAGAATTATTTGCTTTAATTTCTAAAAATGATGGTTCATAGTATCCGCTTCTGAACAGGGTCTTTGAGAAAGCAGCGATGCTCCTAGAATGAGTTTTTACAGAATTCGACCAACTCAAGGCTGCCACTTCGATCGTCCTGGAACATTTTGCTCCAAACATCAACTGTTTACTTTGACATGGTTTGCTGCAGCTAAACAAGTTTCAGACCAAAAGTTTGAGTTTTTTAAAGGTTGAGTGAAGTTTTCAGAGTGGCAGCTTCAGAATAATTGAAACGCGATAGACTGCCGGCATTTGCACAAATGCTTAGCATTAGAAATCGTTATAAGAAAACAGTAGCATTCTGAACTCACAAGTGCCTAAGCATGTAAAAATGAAAAGACCTCACCACATCCTGGCAGGCTTTAAAATAAACCACTAGGTTTACTGTTTTTTGCCAGGTTTTTAAGCTCTTCAGTGCTTGAATTTTTCTTTACATTTAGTTAACAAGCTGCCTCGTGCTGCAAACTGCAGCTCTAGACCTTTTTTTTCCACCGAACAACCGAGACTGGAACAACGGGCCCCCTTGTTTTTTCTTTCTCGCATTTTGATTGGGACGTTCAAAGGTGGAAGCTTTGGAGCTCTGATGTCTGCAGTGGAGTTTAAAAAAAAAAGCCCAACGCTCCGGCCGACGACCCGTTGATTCTGCCATGCCAGCGTGCTCGCACACACAGCGGCTACGTTTACGGTTACAGTTATCGATCGTGGGCGGGCCTCAAACTGCAAAGCAAGCCAAAAGTTCCTTTACAGTTCTCGGTGTTCCAGCTGCTTTGATGTCTGTTTGACCAGTCACGCATTCCCAGATTTCTGTCCCAAATGACACATCTGCATGTCAGGACAAGCTTCAGGGCTGGTTGTGGGGCCTATCGGAGCTCAAACCAGCCCATTTTGGGCTTCATTAATGCTGCAGACGCATCCGATTCCGCTTTAAAATGAAACAGCTATGTTGAAACTGTGTTGTAACGTCAGGGCAACACAGTTAATGAATTATTAACTTACTATGGGACTCCTCTGAGTACTTTTACAGCCGTGTAGCAGTGCCTTCTCTGCAGCAGCGAGGCTGCAGCAAGAACAACATACCTAAAGCACCGGTAGGCACGGCTACGTCACAGTTCTCTCGCAATGGATGCCCCGCATGCTTTCATCTTAATATAGCCCAAAGCCTCGTGTCTTTGGTTTGCGCAAATCAGCAGAGACAAACAGCGGTGACCAAGTAAGTGGTTATACCAGTGACAAGTTATAAATGAGCTGGAAACCCCATCACAATGTATGACAGAGGGGAGCCTCAGTTAGCGGATAAGTGTTTGGAATTGCTTTTGACTACTAAGTGTTGTCCTTCTGACATTCCGTTATTGGATCTGTTGTTAAGCTAAATTGTAAAGAGCAGTTTTAAGGCCAACAGGTGTGCTCGTGAGTCTCACAGAATCTGTGCATGTGTCAGAACAATCATCCCTCCAGTCTGGGATTGATGGAGGAGATCCCTGTTTTATTTTTAGCGCTTTCGTTGCATTCTCCTCCCGAGTCGTCGTCTAGATAAACCACCGTGGCGAATGGACTGCACGCGGTGGAGGAGACGACTCTCATCGATGTAAAGGCAATGCCCTCGGTGCAGTTTAAAGCGCGCCGTGGATTCATTACAGGAAGTTGTTTGAGTATATTCTTGTGGTTGGAATGTGACCGTGGCCATATCGTATTCTCACATAGCTTCCTCTCCGCTAGCCGGATGAGAGCGCAGAGGCTGTGGTGTGCTTAAAAGTTCACCTATCTTCAAGCCGAAAATGCCACGCTCTTAAGAGTATTCTGTCATAATCTGATGAATATTTCACAGTGGGAATATTTTTAGAGAGAGACTCGTGTCTTTTCTTCACACTGAACAAAGCTCTCGCACCTGCCGGAGTGTTGCTGATAAGGGCCAGCACGGCAGAACACGGTACCGACCACAATGGAATACAGGTTTCAGCCATTTAAGTCAATTCAAACGGCTTAACAGCGAATGTTTCTCAGATTCTGAGATTTACCCGGGCACGTCAACACTTTTTTGCGGCCCGCAGCAAGCTTCCAATCAGTCTTGACGGCACACACAGGCCACAGCGTGTATGTGCGATCCTTAGCCTAGCATCAGTGCAGGGTCCTGAGGGGCAGCAATTGCTGATCCTTCACTTCTGCTGGGAGGCCTTTTCTCACTCGGGTTGCCTGGCAACCCTCGTGTTTCTGCAAAGGGAGGGGTTTATTTTGCTCAGGAAAGAGGAAGAAATTTGGAGGGAGTTGCATAAAATGTGGATGAAGATGTCAACAAGAGACGCTCGCTCGAGGCTTAAGCGCACTGGGATCAAGGGATAGATTTTTAACAGAGATCTGAGAGCTTAAAAGAAGTGAATATTATATAATCTGTAAAAATGCATGACACCATTGCTATGCATTGTTCTTATCAAAGACGGATTGAGGGCAATCTATGTCTTTGCACCATTCTAGGAAAAAAATGGAATGTAGTCAGACTAGAAGAATAGTCTGAGTGTAGCTGGAGTTTTAAACATGTTGGGCCAGTTAAAATCACACTGAACCGACATTCTCAAAGTCTACACACATGCAAGGAACTGTTGAAGAAGGAGTTGTTTACAACAGACAGTTATTACAAGGGATTGCTTTAATTTCATTCCTGAGTGAAAATATTCACATGTGCAATGTGATAAACGTAGAAAGCTAAAGCTGTCCAGTTCGCCCTGGTAAACAGAACCACTGAAGTTGTTGGTTGTTTTTTTGTCTGCAGCATATAAGTCCAACTGAAAAAAAGCCCAATACTAACAAGCTGAAAGCACAAAGCCATCTGCTATAGCAAAGTCAGACATACTTCAGGGAATTGGTTCAACTCTTGTGCATTCATACTGGAACAATGGCCAGTTAAATGGCAAAGTTGATCTGTATTGTGTACACTTGCAAGCAAAGCTTTGTTGAACCGTTCCCACTTTTGACACCTTTAATTGGACCGATGTTCTTGTCCCAGTTTACATAAAGGGCAGGGAAATTGGGTTATTGGCCTCTGATCCCAGATGACTTTGGTCTGTGTGAAAATGAGAAGAAATGTTCTGCGGTTTGTGATTTTTCTCTGCTGGAGATCGATCCATCTCAATCCAAACAAATGGCTCTTTGCACTATGTCTGAACTACTAAGCCTCTTTGGATACCATTTGACACAACAAAATAGACTCCAGAATCTTATGCATTATCTGAATTTGTTTACCCCTTTTTTACATTTAAACTGGTCGTCTTCAGTTTTTTGTTGTATTGGTTGAATTTTCCATGAATTAAACCAATATTGAGCCACAGATTACTTTTAAACACATGAGAAAATACACAAAGAGACGAATTAGATGGAATTAATGATGGAATATGAATTAACCAGGTCAGAGCCAACTCAAAGGTTCTAGCACGCACAGAAGAAAACCCTAAAACATTTGGTAAATTAGGCCGATCTGCACAAGTAACTATGTCACCTTTATCTTGTCTGTCTGAACTTATCAAACAGCCAAACCTCTCTCATGGAAAGCATTAATTTGTTTCATCTTATTTTTTCATTAATCTTATCTAAAGGTGCAACACAATTTTGCCTTTGGTCAACAAATATAAGGAAAGTAGAGATTTGGAACTTTATTACTGAGAGAGATGGTGAAAGGTCATTGAAAAACTGTCCCCTATTTCTCAAAATGTGATGCAAAACAGTCCGTTTTTCTTTAAATGACCACTTGTGGCAAGAAATAAGATAAAGGCATCTCTCAAAACTCAGTTTATTTCAAATTATTTACTCCAATATAGATTTTGAACACTCCGTATGTCATTTGATTCTTGAATATGATGCATTAATACAGTCCACATAAATAAATCAAAACTGAGAGCCCTGTGTAACTTATGTTACACAGGGCTGTTTACAAAAAAGTACACCAAACAGTCAATTTATGAGTTCCTGTCCACAGGCAGGAAGATAATATTTACAAAAAAATACTCTGTGGTGGCTTCCTGTCAAATGAGTGGAGCCTGTCATAATCGGCTCGATGTACAGAAGAAGCGAATGCTTTAAAAATATTCAGTCATTATTCATGCAAAAAATTTTGTTGTTTTTTTCCCATCGGCAGAAACCTGAGCTCATGCAATATTTAGGTGTTTGATAGCCTCGGTCCCCATGTGCTATTTACAGCTGGCATACGGACAGGATCAGCTGTATGTCCTCTAGGGAAGATGCTTGGATTAATCTGATTGGCTAGCAGCTGTGTGTCACACTGGGGGTGTGTCTGTGGATTAGTGGCTCCTACTCTGCAGGGTTTTTTCACTGTATTGGCCAAAAATTTACCACAAGAAATAACAGCGTGACCTAAAACAGGACCTACAAATATTGCGGGCACAAGTCCCCTCCCCTCCAGTTGTGTGACGTAGAAGTCAGATCTCGTTATTACGAAAGACTTTTCCCGGAAAAAGTGGCAGCAGTCGACCTGTTTAATTCTTTATTCATCATTTCTTTATATAATTTAGAATTTTACAGGGAAAAAGCAGCGAACACATGCTCTCAAAAGTAATTTGTCACTGCACCAGCTCACATAGGGACATGCACAGGCAGCTTTTAGGGATACACGGTAGGCAGGTTGCCTCAGGCACCTTAGGGAACATGCCACGGTTCCCCTATAGATCTGCAGTACACTCTTCATACCATCCCATATTTAGTCCAGGACGTGTATATCTTGGCCCTCTGGAAAACCATTCGTTTTACAATCTACATCCTGCTCTATTGTAGAGTGTCCTCCATACTACAGTGTGAATTACCAGCCAATCAGACATCTGCCTGATGGTTCTGAGTCGTGACCGCGGATGCAGACATTTTGAGTAGCTAAAGTTTTTTTATTTCAGTGTCTGAGAAAAAAATGACCGTCATCATCTCGTAAAAATTGACACATTATGATGACACAAATCTTGACATGACTGCTTATTGTGGAGTAATTAGGTAAACTGTGCTACTCTTATTAGACAATTTATGTGAAGCCGGAGCACAAAGCCCAAACTGAATTGCACTGATTAAAATGAGGTAAAAATGGAGAACTTGCATGAAAGATGAGTGTACAGCTGATATTTCCATCCTTTCTATGTGAGTTTCCCTTAGAAAACCATCATGAGGTTCCACATGAACTATCAGCACGATTAAGTGTTGATTCACTGTGCAAACGGAACTCCTGTCGACCACGCTGTAGCTACAAAATAAGTGGAAATATTCACTCATATTTACAATTATTTGATACGTGCTAAGATGATCAAACAGAGGTAAAAGAAAGGTGGTGATACACTATTGGTACTTCATCAGAGTTCTGCTTGAGTCAGTTGAGGCTCTGGTTGTTAAATGATTCTATACAATGAACAAAAACAGGCCATATCAGCAGATTATCAAATGTAAAAAAATATATATTTGTGAGCTTCACTGTCATGATAAGTACATTTAAATGGATTATTGCTTTTTGTCATGAACATGACTTCTGATTGAATTTCACTTAACTTTAGTATTTAGTATAACATGTTATGAGTATGACTTTTGTTTCAAACAAATCTCTGTAATCTAGCGTTTTTCTTACATTCTAGTAAGCTTTTATTGGCTCTCTCACAAAGCACTTGTACCTGCTGTTGTTTTTTATGTTTTCAATGATATTTTGAGTCAATCCTCCGCAACTATCTGCAAGGTGTTAAAGGTTGGAATTCTTCCACCCTTGCCATCACGTTGGTGTTTAGTTCCTTCCAGGGATTCCAAACTCTCCTTGAAAGTTTGGCATTGGACATGTTTAACTCCTCCAAGAAGATGGTGGGCAAGAAACAACATTATCTTTTGGAGCGATATCTGTATCCTGTGTCATATCCAGAATATGTGACAGTGAATGTAATCCCAAAGTAATTACAAGGGATAATTTACAGTATAAGAAATAGGAAAGTTGCTACAATGATGGAATAATGAAACATGTTCTAATATAGTTTTCAGTTCTGTTTGAGTAAACTATGGTAAGAATTCATGAGGAAATTTAAACACTGTGTATTACCATGCGCTGCTAGTTGATTATTTTATTTCAGTCCATCAGAAACTCATTCAAATGAAAACAATGAAAACAATACTTCAAAATGATGAAATGTACATAAACCGGCCCATGTAGCTTTTAGTTTTGTGCATTAGTGCACAGCATATCAATGGATGCACTCATTTAGCTTTTAGCAGTTGGGCCTATTACATCAGGGAAACATTTGCAGCCCACTCCTGCTGACATTTTAAAGATTTTTGCAGCAACTGCAGCTGTTGTGGAGCATCAGCTGGCAATAAATATCAAATCACAATGGGCACGCAGCAGCGGCTTTCACATATTTCATTCACGGATGTGGCATCATAACAGCTCTCCGTGTGCTAACCTTGTAGCACTTCATTCGAAACGCACGCTAACAAACGAGACAACAGGGTTTTTCCTGCGGGGAATTTATTCCAATAAACCAATTTCGCCTGGGCTTGCCACAGTTCAGAGCCTCTTACAGATGTGTTTGATTCAAAATTGCTCTGCTTTGCTTTATGAAATAAGATTGCGCTCTCATGTCTCTCAGAGCAACAGAAGGCTTATCTTTTGCCTCTCGGTCCCATGGCAAAATGCCTCTTGCTCTTGATATGCCTCTTGTTTGTATCAGGCGTGCATGTGTGGTGACTGTATTAAGGTGCTACCACACTGTCTGCTCTGCGTCACTTTCACTTCCCCCAGGCGAGGAAAGATCCTCACAGCTCCTCTCAGCTTTAACAATGTGCCTCAACAGAAGGGCTGAATAACAATGGTAGCTGTAATTGTATTAGTACATTGGACTGTGCTTGAAGTGTGTGCTCCAGAGGTACAGAGTGCGTGTGTTCATGGATTTGCGTCTTATGGTGCATTTTTGCTCTGTGTTAGCTCGTTTTTTTTAATTTTTTTTTTTTGAGCAGGCTTGTTCGTTGGGTCTGCCGGGAGATGTCTTTTCCGCTGACTTTGTTGGATTCGGAGCCAGAGTTTCTTACAGATCAATAGCATCCTGGAACCAGCACATCCAAAGCGTGTGCAGCCGATTGGTCGTCTGCACAGGATACTTGAACAGTTGAAACTCTCGTGAATATGTGCACTTCTTGCATGCCGTTCGCCCACTGCTTTGTTCGTGGATCACTCATCCCTCACATCATTCTCTTTGCTTTGAAATATCTGAAAAAAAAGACAAATGCCGCATTTTTTATTCACTGATTTAGTTCTCTCTGCACAACTGGGTTGTCAAAATAGATATTAAAATAAAGTACGTGCGTATAATCAAATACAGAGGGTTTGCAATGACATATGGGTTTTCTTTGTGATAGTGACTGGAGCACCTGCCCACAGGCTGCTTTTTATCTGAAGTTTCAGAATTAGAGAAATGTGTGTGTGTCGCAGTGCCGGCCCCTGCTGTCACGCATGGATTCTATTGTATATTGCTTTCAATTGGACCACAATTCTCTCTATCATAGAACAGGCAACGCAGTTGCTACTTCCAGGAATGACATTTTCATGCTTTCCTTTTTTGCCCGCAGGAGAGAAAGCCATCTAAATCACTCATCTGGCCAATATAAATGATATGCCATTCAGGGGCTGGGGCCTTACACTCAGTGAAAGGAGACACGTCAGAATGTTCTAATTCGCTTCTGTCTCTTCTCTCTTCAGGTCTTGATGACTGTCTCCAGCAGTACGTGAAGAGTTTTGAGCGGGAGCAGATGGGCGGAGAACAGCTGCTGCACATCACCCATCAGGAGCTGGAGGAGCTCGGTGTCACCAGAATAGGACATCAGGAGCTAATCCTGGAAGCTGTCGACCTCCTCTGTGCCCTGGTCAGCCTCTGCCGCTTTTTGATTCCACGCCTCTCCATAAACAGTGATGTAGAGGGATAATTCCTCATGAAGGTCCAGGGTTTAGCAACCTGACCCCCCCTCGACCTGTATGTGAAAACATCACATGAGACAAACCCATCAAAATTCATGAAATCTGCCGAGTGTTTCACAAATGAACGAAAAAACCCAAAGCTGTACTAAAAATAGTGGGAATAATTGAACAAATTTAGGGGTTCTGTGCTGGCTAAGACACTGTTATGGGTTTATAGTGATGCTGCCGCAGTCTGTAGCACGGAATATGAATTAGCCTATTATTCTAATCTCTGTTGGCTTGTGAAGTTTAATGAAGGTAGCAAGTTCCAGCCAGGGAGCAAGCTTAACAGGCTGGCGGAAGCTTTTAGTCATGAGTGTGTACAGCCAAAGTAGCCATCCGGTGTCTTTATATTTTTAAACCGATAAGATGGGGAAATGAGATCAATTTAAAGGTGGTAGTGTTATTTACCAAAAACGCCACTAATTCCACCTCGAATACAGATAAACATCTCTCTCTCAACACAGAATCCTGTGGAACTGGGTGGTGTACCCTAATATACTGTATATTTCATAGAAAGACAAGACAGGTCTGGATTCACACCTTGACAAAGTGTATGAGTAGGTTTTCTCGGGTGTCATCTCGTAGTCCGCGTCGTGCATTCTAAGCTAACTGATAGCAGGTGTGAATACTAACGTGCATGTCTTTACATGCTAGTCCTGTCACAGACGGCCCGCCTGTCCAGGGTAATTACTTTAAAGGCTGCATCAGTCAAAGCTAAATGAAGCCCTAGGCGATACTGGTGCACATGCATTGCAGTGGTTTCTTGCATGCTAGCAGCCGGTCACAGACTATCAGTAAGTAGCCCCTTCATGTCGCCCCTAAAAAGCAGAGAACAGACGGCTTCTGCTCCCATCCTTCAATACAGTCTTACACTGTGCCACAGCTGGTTTGAATTGCAGTGCTAAATGTGGCGCTTTTGCACATATTGATTAAGCGTGGCAAAATGACACTTTCTGTGCAATGCCATTCTGTCTTTCTGTGTCGAGTTTGCATGTTCTCCCTGTGTATGTGTGGGTTCTCCACTGGGACTCTGGCTTCCTCCCACCATCCAAAAGCATGTATGTTAGACTAATTGGCGGCTATAAATTAACTGTGGGAGTGAGTGGGAGTGTGCTCGGTTGCCTGTCTCTTACGTGGTTGACACTGTAATGGACCGGCGCCCCGTCCAGGGAGCGAACCATGAAGAAGCTGGGGTGGCTCCTACCCTCTGAGGGCCATGGCTTTAAACAGAGAGGGTCAGAAAATGCAAGGATTGATAGTATACTAAAGGTTCAGATTCCGATAAATCTTTTTTTGGCTATAAATGAGAAACACAAAACATATTTGAATATTGATAAAAGCATTGCTACTGGTTTGTATCATGTTTTGGCATGTAGACGAGAAAAAAATCTGTTGCATGTTTTCTTTTTGGCTTCCTCTTATAGTCCAAACACATCACCTCTCGCAAAATGATAGCCAGGATAGGGTGAAGCTCCCCCTTAAAGAAAATGGATAGATGAATTTGAGATGTGTGAAATTCATATCTAAAGTAAAAGCTTCTTTCAATTATCCTGCAAAGTCTAAATAAATTCTCATAGGTAGATGGATTTCTGCTTCCGTTGTTTGTTTTCCTCAGTCAGTCACCGATACTGGTTTAATAAACGGCTATTTTAAAAAAAGGGAAGAAAATCGTGTGTCATTTGGGTCTTGCTTTTCGTGGTCAATGCTGACTGTATGTGCAGTGGCCCTGCTCAGGATTAGAGAATTAGGGGGAATTAGGTTCTACCTTCCCAGAGAGAGGGAGAAAAAGAGGCAGAGGAGGAGAGGTGAGAGGAAAGGGGAGAGTATATAGAAAGAGTATGCAGGATGCACCTTATCTCCAAGGCACACACGGTTGGATTAGTTGGAGCTGTGCGGAATATGTGCGAGTGTGTGTGTCCACGAACTCGTACTTGTTCGTGTGCTAATCAGCACCTCTTCTCATTTAAATTTTGCAGCACGGGAATGAGTGTCCCAGAGCACCAATCACCACGTATCCCAGAACTGGACCCGCTCGCACATTCACACACTTCAATACTCACACACACACATAATTACACACACAAGGATGCCGACTTGACAAGACAAATCATTAAAACTACCCCCGTGAGTACTTTTAGGGGATGTTGCCAGACCTTTAGCCACTTTTGTCTTGCTCTTTGTGACTTTGGTGATTACAATACAGCAAACAGAAATACACTATATGTTAACTTCTGATACCAAGCAACATGCAACTGTCTGGCAAACAGATACATAAATCCATGGATACACAGCCCTGTGTCTGTCAGTCTTACAATGCTTAATAGCCAACAAAAATAACATTGTGGGTGTTCGTTCATCTCACAGACTTGCTTTTGTCAGTATTGCTGTTGTGTTGGTAAAAAACACAATGATCGCGAATGATAGATAATGAGATTAAAGCATAAAGGAAAAACATCCTCGCTGCGTATAGCACAATTTTACTGTATCGGGAGCAAATCTCCAGTGTCCTGTGATTAATTTCACTCTTCAGGAAACAAAGCACCATAGTAGCAAAAGATGAATCACTGTCATCAGCAATATCATCCATTATAAGGACGAGCTAGAGCTGGCTCAACCTCTGTGACCGTCTGGCGATTCTGCTGTTAAACGGCATAACTTCTGTTGCTCTGGGTCGATGCAAGTTTCAAGTGCTGAGTGAGGTCTCAGTTGTATTGTGAATCTGGACGAGTGTTTTTATTCATTTAATTTTTTGTTAATGCCCATGTGGTCAATTTGTGCACATAGCAGCTGAGTAGACGTCCGCATGGGGGTAAAGTGTTCAGCAAGTTTTCCTGTCATCAATAAGAGGGAGTGAACAACAACTACAGCGCACTGGGCACAGTTTTAAGTACTGAAATATTTATTATTCCGATCACTGTTATCAAGTTGCAAGAATCTCGGGTATCTCTGCGCAAGCTAATTGGATTGAGATTTGCTTTCTACGTTCATATATTTCCGTACGGTGTTCCCCAGGGTTCAATGTTAATACACTTCTGTTTATGTCCCAAAATACTGTGCTACACACTTTTTCAATGGACTCCTTTTATTATCCAGCAAAAGGCAAAAAATTTAGAAAAATGTCCCCTGTAACTGTTCATTAGAACGAATACACAGAGTTATTGAAATTAAGGTTAATTTATTCAGACCACCTTTCAGTGTTAGTTCCTTGTCAGTGCAAGCCTGTATTTTTAGGCTGATGTAAGAGTTCTCCAAGGGTTCTTGAAAGAATTTCTACTTATTGCAATTTTTTTCTAATGTGATTTGAAAATTATTCGTATTCATAACCCTTGGGTTTAGTTCCACCGCAACGTTAGGACAGTCAATAAAATAGGATCCACGGAAAAAAATGTGTTGCAATTTCATCAATTAAAACACAGGAACCAGTTAGACCACCACTCCAGGAAATCCCTACTCTCCTTGTGAAATATGCTAACATTACAACTGATGAATGCTTTGATAACATTTTAGCTCTTGAAGGAAAGATTCAATGATGACGTCGACCCTTTTGCCAACATGCTCCATATGAGATTTGATGGTGAGCAATGTAGAAAATATCTTCATAAAGGAGAGGCCACTCCAGCGGTGGCTGCTATGGCAACAACACTGACATGGGTTGGGGTCCGTGGTGGGTGGTGGTGGAGGAGAGGGGGAGGGGCTTGGGGCCCATTGTAGTTGTATTCCTATATTGATTTTCCACGCTTATGCATGCACTGCTTGTGAATGACTTCTTTCTGTCTCCCCGCGTACTCAGCCGCTCACACAGGTTTGGTCCCCCGCTTCATCTCAGCTCCCTGTCCCCTGGAGGGAGTTGCTCACAGCTTTAGATCGAATCATATGACAGCCTAATTACAGCTGTGCAAACATGTACACTCGGAGTGCATGTACACATCCACATTCACGGGGAAGACAGCGAAGGATACAGAGCACAGTGTGTGCCTGACCCAGTTTCAGCGAGATGCATAGCTGGGTGCTCTCTGTCTTCCTGTCCCTCTTGTCTTCCGTCTCTTAGTTCCTTAGTTGCCTAATTTCTCCCTTTCTCTCTCTCTTTCTCTCTGCTGCCACTGTGAAACCCTCCCTCCTTTGTAGTCACTGCGGTCGTGACTGTGTAGAATAGATCTAGAGGCAGCGGAGAAATAGATACGTCTAGCTCAGACTGTGCATCTGACTTTACGAGGGTGCATCTCTCTATGAGTGTCTGTGTAGCCCTTTTGTCAGCAGGAATCAGGCTCTGTCAGGGAAGACATGACTGGAGGTGCCTTTGGATGCCGAGTGCAATATGTGTGTGCTTATTTAAAAGGGTCACAGTGCAGTGATGGGCGAGCTGACTCCACCAGCTTTGTGTTTTTGTAACACAGTGAAAGCTCAGGAAGTGCCCCGGCTATGTCGGGTAGTTACACAATGGCTAGTCAGACCTGGTCAAACTGATGATTTTTGGAGCCTCCTAAACTGCAGCGTCCCTCACTTGGAATGCGTAGAATCATTTGTAAGGTGGTCAGAAGGGAAATTGTTTGGTCGGTTTAGATCAGGCCAAAATTAAATGTGGCAGTCTGACAATTTTTCTACTTATTCGTATCATGAATCTTACTGTGACCATCCATCCTACTCCGATTATGCATCTAGATTTGTCTCATTTTATCTTAGCAACAGAGAAACGCTGAAATTATTTTATTCAAGGTGAAACATACGACTCCGAAGCTCTAAACATTGATCAATGTTGTTCTGCTTTTAAAAGTACAGTTTTGAAATTTAAATTTGTTAATGTTAAGTGAGAAGACTGCTTCGTGACCAGAACTCCATCTGAGATATTCAGGCATCAAATTGGAAAGCACACATTTACCATTTTGGGTCAAATGTTACAAAATGCTCAGTAGTTTAATGGGCAAAGAGGAGGCTGTTGAGCTCTTCAAAATTAGCCATTGTATCCATTGGCTCTCAATGTCACACTTTAAACAACTACTGTTTCTGTAGAGATTTTGCCTGCACCCAAACTAAAAGTACAGCGTTCAAAGAAAGAGTAAATAGAAGTCAAGTGTAAAAATAACACAAAGTGAAATCACTTCTGTACCTCTGTGATGGAATATGTGTTTACAACAACCAGTTCTCCAACTCCCTCACATGAATTTATTTATATTTCACAACCTGAAGCATTACTTCGTCCAACTTTATTTTTGTATGTTCGCACCACAAACAGAACTGAGATCGCTAAGGAGCTTCAGACAGAATGGCTCATTGTTGTACCGTAACGTAATGTATCTGTTTGTCCTCCAGAACTATGGCCTAGAGACAGAGAACCTCCGAACTCTGTCCCACAAGCTGAACGCGTCAGCGAAGAACCTCCAGAACTTCATCTTGGGTCGGCGGAGGGGCGGTCACTACGATGGGCGAGCATCCCGGAGGCTGCCCAATGACTTCCTCACGTCGGTAGTGGACTTGATTGGTGCAGCCAAGAACCTGCTCGCCTGGCTTGACAGGTGATTGCTGCACCGAGTGCACTTTCATTTGTGGGACTATATATCCATTTCAGATAACCTCCAAATCAAACTAGTGTGAATCATTCCAGCATGAAATCAATTAAATGCGTGTAAAAAATACAGCCTTTTCATAGTTTGTTTGAATGTGTTAGAAGTTATTCCGACATTGCCATTTTTATCCATGAAAATGTCAAATGGACTTACTGTAGAAAACCTCTCCTTATGATTCTACACTATATTTACGTGTTGTTACATTTTTGTTACAATTAACTGCTGTTTAGATCCTTGTTCGGTTTTTATCACCAGAAATACAAAAAACTGTGCCAAAATCATCTGCTGGATTTAATGGAAGAAGCACGTAATCTTTTTTGTCAATTCAGATGAGCTTTGGAACTATTGAAGAGCTGAGAGCTCAAAACAGTGAAGGAGTGCTGAGCTTCAGTTGGCCCCTGGGTTGCATACTCTTCGAGCTGTGATATAAAACCAAATATTGTTTGTTTTTCTGTATTGCTCTTGTGGTTTATTTCTTCTCCATCTCTGCTCCGTTGTTTCATTTGGCCTCATTGTCAGCAAATACGGGAGCGTGAACGATATCAAAATGAAAAAGTGCGTAAACGGCTCCCTCAATGGCCAGCCAGAATAACCCCCCCCCTCTTTCTTTCAGACAATTGTGCATTTGTTATATTGTTAGCTGTTTCTGTATGTTGCAGGTCTCCGTTTGCCAGTGTGACAGAGTATTCGCTACTAAAGAACAACATCGTGCAGCTCTGCCTCGAATTGACCACCATTGTACAACAGGTACCTCCTCACACATGCTTCCGACATCCCATGTTTGACGTACCGATGAGAGTAATGACAGAGATGCAAACTGAAGCAATAAGATTACGTTTTTTTTCTAGAATGGATGTTAGTTGCGTATTTCTACAGTTTTTATTTCTTCCATATGAACACACATGTTCATTTCCAGAGACAGGTAGCTCACAAAAAAACAAACCTCATCCCCTCCCTAATCCAAATGTTCTAATGGAAGTCCATTATTCACTGTCGTTCTTTTGCTCTCTCCCCGATGTCGAATAACCACATTGCACACGCGGGCACCCTTGAAAATTAAGCAGGGGCTGCATGCATTCACTCTGGCACTGTCGCCATCTCATTGTTTGGACAAAAACTATGTATGCTCTTTTGGACCATATCCACGTCCTCACAGTAAGAGGCTGCTTAGAGTGTACAAGAGTGTGTTTGTGCTTGTGCCCAGAGTGAGAACTGGAGCTGAGCAGATAACACCCATCCCCTGTGACAAGGGCCAGAGGAGAGCAAAGAGAAAGGGGCCACCGCAGGCCCCACAATAGGCCGAATGAACCTTTGGCCGCCTGGGTGCAATGAAACAGACAAAGATGGCAGCGGAACCTGCACTAATGCATCAAATGTACAAATGACCTACCCTCATGCATATGGGGGATTCGGTTTGGGCGGCTGTCCCAGAAGTAGATTAACTAACAGCTGTCGTTGAATATCAGTGTGTCACATATTTTTTACTTTTGGTTTTGAAAGCAAGCGGAATAGGATCCAAATCCGGTTTTATCCAACGCGCAAGTTTCCCGACGTCTTAAAGCGCGTCTTCTCCATAAGTTATCATTTTGTTCCTGTCATTTTTTTCTGTCTTTTCTTTCCTTACTGGCTGTTATATTTGGAGGAGAACTTGTTTGCAGATGTCATCTCATGCAGAGTCTCTTCTTGTGTCATCTCCTTTCACAGGACTGCACTGTGTATGAGACAGAGAACAAGATCCTTCACGTGGTACGTATTTGTTTTAAAAAGTAAAAGAAACACCCGTAATGACTGCAAATTGTTGTCATGTTCATATAAGGAAGGCCTCTTTTTCCCAAATTGACTATTAAACTTGGACACTACCAGTTTTCCCTATTTTCTTTCATACTTTTCATACTGATGTATCTATCACAAATGCACTGTCATTTTTTAGATGTTCACAGGTTAAACTGTGTCTCACTAGTTCAAATTTATTTTTGACTTGTAGAAATTACATTTAGTAAAAAAATTTGTTGAACTGGTTCTGCTTGCAGCAAAAAACATCTTATCTTAAAATGTCCCATTTGAGTACACTTTGACTGAAATTGATTTCATGTGTGTATTTGTGTGACGCGTTGTAGGTGTGTGCATGCACTTTGTGGTTTTGTGGAACTGTGTGTGTGTATGTTTGGTAAAGTGCAAACGAGCCGAAGGGCTTTTGAGAGCCTGACTGTAGCCTCTGTGTGTGCATGCTTGTGTGGGTTGGGGGGGGGGAGATGGCAGTTATGGAGCAGAGTGAGCAGTTGGTGTCTGATCTGGACTGACAGTCAGATTAGGACATTTCCTGCTGCCATTTGAGGTCAGGTGTGGGCAGGCAAACAAAAAAATTTGGGGCAAACAAGTTGTTTTCAAGTAGTAAAACATCTGAACTTTTAGTAATACGGAAAAAAACTAATTGTATTTGACACCATATGATAAATATGCGACTGTAAGGTGTAACTATTGCATAAATGCAAACAATTAAGGCTCAACAGAAGGTGACATGTTGCTTTCCACATGAGGTGGCCACTTCTTGAAAACAAATCTCTCTTTTTGGTGTAGTCATCTAATTCCCAACTGGTTAATTTAATAGCATGTGAACCCTATACTCTTAGAAAAAGAAGAAAATAACAAAAGCATGCAGTATAAAATACTTTAAGATAAATAAAAACAGAATGCAATGATGTGAAAAATTATAAGTAATTTATTAACAATCAAACATAAAGATGTCGAACGTTGATATTGTTTAATACAGAAATATTACAGTAATCTTTAATGGCACTAGCACACCTCTAAAGGGGAACAAAAACAATATATACTATAAAGGCCCCTCTGCTTTCTACCATAGTTTACTCTCTCATATTCTGGGATCTGAGGAGAACAGCAGTTGTCCTCACATTCTTGTCTGATATATGATTTTTTCCTCTCAAAACTTCAATTTCACCCAAGCATATTCTACAGCGCTTATACCCAATAGGAGCCTATCCTAGCTGGCAAACAGGGTGGACCCTGAACAGGTCACCAGCAGGGCCACACAGGGCAGCACAGAGACAAACAACCAAGGCCCCCCCGGGAATTCAAACCGGGAACCCTCTTGCTAGTCCTCTAATCTAGAACATAGCCCGTGCCATTGTGTTAATCAGATTTAGCAAGGTTTTGCTAAAATATGCAAGGCCATCATCTGGATGGGAGTTGACAGGAGTTTGTCAGCAGAGATTGATCTTTCCAAATGTGTAAGTTGGCACAGATACACAGACAAGCACTAATGTACGGTGAACTGTGCTCACTGGTAGGGATTTCTGAAAGTATTCCTGAGCCCATGTTCTAAACGTGTTGTTACATACAGGCCAGAAGCTCACCGGCTTCCAGTTTTGACACTTGGCTGCCTACCCCTCCACCAGAAACTATCCAAAAATCTTTTGACTACACTATGCATATTGATGGATGATAAAAGTATTCCCGCTTTGCAAACTAACATATCATTCTGAAACTCTTATCACCTCCCCTTATATAGGTCTTAGATGCTCTGCCTCTCCAAGGTGCCACATTTATAAATGGGTATTTGATTAATTTGCTGCCAATTAACAGATTTACTAAAAAAAAATGTATTCCTAAATTTTTGCTAGACACACTAGCAGACACAGCTGTTGCTCTTCTCCTCTTTTGTGACACCTTTCAGAAACGATTCAGAAATATGCTGCTGCCATTAAATCTAAGTTGGGCTACTATGTTTTCAAAACTTTATTGTGAATAAAGTATTGTGTCATAAGTTGTTTTTTTTCACAGACTCTGCTGATGGGTTCATTTTACAACGAACCCATCAGTTTTTGGAACAGTCGTTATTTATTATAGGACATGAGACACATAAACAGACATGAATAGAACTGTTAAAATATGCTTGATTCTATGAAATATTTATTTACTTGATTTCCGGAAGAGAAATGATGTTTTCTGTCCTTCAATCAATTAATATCAATTTAATCTAGAATAGTGATAGATACTTAATTTAGAAATGACCACTACGTAACCATTTAAAGATGAGCTCACAAGCCACTGATAAAATGTTTGAAGAGGCTGTACTATAGTTAATAGTTTGTGTTTTTCCTACATGTTGAACTTACCATACAAATCTTTATTGCCTGTTCAGCAAGTTTTAAATTAAGTCATCGATCACATTTGCATTGATAATGTTTCCAGTGGCCAATTAAACAGAAGTTCCAGTTACAGCTGTCAGTGACACTAATGTAAGAGTTGATAGGGTGAAACCTTCAGGATCAGGATGGTTTGACGACAGCAAAAGATACATTTTCTCATTTTAGTTCAGCAAACAAATGCCTGTGCTATATGAATACGGCTACACTCTGCCTACACAAGTCCTAATTGTAGCTTTCTACATGTGTTTTTGGCTTCTAAACACATAGATGGACACAATGCCAAATACCGATATTAAATCTTGAGATGCTTAGAAGTGATTTGGCGGAGCAGCTCCTAACTATTTCCTTGTGATGGTTTTAAAACCTAAACGTGAGAAAAATAGTGCTAGATAAGTACAAGATTTATTGATTTATTTGTTTTTTGGTCCATATTTTATATATAATATTATTAAATTTTTGAACATATACTTAATGTAGTCGCAATAATCAGCACTACAACCAACTGATATGCTCTTTAGTTTCTTATTCTAATAATCCAGACACGTCCACATTACTCTGAGTCTGTGCCAGGAAATGCTCTGAGCCATCCTTTTTTCTCGTTGGATTGCTTTTGCTCAAATTCTAAATGCAAGTCTGTTCACACGGAGCTGCCTTTTCATGTGTTCATGTGTTCTTGATTTTACCCAGACAGATTTACAGTGTGTTGCATATCCAGCACGGGGCTCATTCTGGTTACTGTAGTGCTGTTGCACGTTTGTCCTCCCCTGCTCAATAATGCAAAACTCACTGCAACTCTCCTCTCCACTAGACTACGGCCTGCAGCAATCAGATGGGCACGACGTGTGTGTGTCTGTGTGTGTGTGAGCCTGTGTCAGAAAGAGAGAGAGATAGGATATGAGCATGTGTGAGGCACTGTGTCTGATGGAGCGTTAAGTGTGTATGTGTGAGTGTTTTTATGTGCATGCATGCATAAGGATCAGAGGAATTACATAATGCTGTCCTAGTTGTGTGTTTTTCCTTTCCCTTGTTTTCTCTCCTTTCCTCCTGGATGCTTGCCTCTCCCACTTCCATATCAGTCTGTCCCTCTCAGCCACTTTCTTTCATACTTCCCGCACTATCTTTCGCAATGCCTGAATGTATATCATTATGAATGTGTGTGCCTATGAGAGAGAGAAAGATAAAGAAAGAGAGAGAGACAGAGACCTTGCAAATGCAGGTAATGCACTCATACTTGCTATGAGGGCTAGTGAGTAGAAGAGTCTGCTGAGGAAAAAAGCGAGGGAGAGAATGAGAGAAAGGAAGATGTTTGCGGTGGAAGCTTAATCCACTAGGCAGTGTTCTATGTCGGGCTTTCTGTTTGACTCCTCTTAAATCTCACGCCAGCCCCATAAGTTAACGTGCCTGTAATCTGCACTCTGATGCTCTGGAGGCATGTCAGATCAAGGCCGGGCGTTTCAGAGCCGGGGGAGTTCAGATCTCCACGCTGGCGGCCCTTTGTCCGTCGCTCCTGTGCTAATCCCTGGTCAAGACCACGAGTCCGGTGATCAAAGCGGAGCACATTGTGGCTTCATAAGGGATTCGCGGCTCAGTAGATGTGGTTAAAAAACATACAGCTCGCACACTTTTGTGTGTGCCCTTTTAAAAAAAACAAAACTTTTAAATTGAAGCTCAAAATGTGGTTGGTTGACGGTTTGTGAGACGAAAACTTCTGGGTATTCAACGACATTATGTGTGCACAAGTTGAGTAGAACATAATGTTACTGTACAAACAGAAGATGAAACAGGCATTGCAAGGCTAAGATAAATGACCCAGAAACTGCTGAATTCTTTGTGTGTATGCTAACTGGCTGAAAAAAGATTCTCCACCTTTTCCTCTCACAAAGGATGAATCATAGGCTCTGAGCCATGGTGCGTGCGTGCGCACTTAGACGTGTGTGTACGTATCGAGGATCCCTTCTGTTCATTTTGTAGCTTTAATCTAGTAACTTCTCATTAGGATTGAGATCAGAAGATTATTTTATGCAGGCCTCATAATATAGCAAACACTCTGTGGCTCTGCTGTGTGTGTGTGTTTGCGCCTGTGCACCAGGAATGGAAGCTGTGAGGCCGGATAACCAGGATAAGAGCTTCTGTAAAGGCGATGCAGTCAGTCAGCCAAGATTAGAAGGCAGAGACGTAGCTGGGGATACATTAATAGGCACGCATGGCCGAGCAGACAAATAACCTGAAAAAAGTTTATCTGGAACAAAGGCAAGGTGAGGCTGTGCTTCTTGCTCAGTGTGTTTGCTCAGCTTAACTCAAACTGGGCGATGGGAATTAAGAATATATGTGCGGTGTAGAGAAAGTGCAGTCGGCAAACAATGTGAGTGGCTTGGTTTAGCCCATGCAAAGCCATATTGGCTCTTTTTTCCCCCCAACAAGAATGACTGATAGCAACAAATAAAAACTGAGCTTTGTAAGTGAAATGTTACAACATGTCATATGTGCACCCCGGGCTGCCTGGTGATGTATTGTTCTGTCTGTGGAGGTGTCTTGTGGGCATGCCTTTGGACCGGCTGTGACAAGAAACAGTTTGTGTGCTGGAGTGATGGAAGTGGTGATGTGGAACAATCTGATGAAATGATGTCTGTCTCACCTCCTCCAGCTAGGTCACCGCATCCCTTGTGGATCAAAACCAATCTCAATAACTCTCTGTCTTTCTCTTTTTGTGTCCGTCCCTCTTCTCCTTTCATTGTGTTAATGCTCCTTTCACCTCGAACTCCATCCTCCAGTGTAAGACCTTAGCGGGGATATGCGACCACATCATCTCTCTTTCCTCGGACTCCCTGGTCTCTCAGTCGGCCCATCTGGAGGTGGTCCACCTTACCAGCATCATGCCCAACGAGGGACTGGTGAGAACACACCTGAGATTTCACAAACATGAACATATACAGCTGCATGAGAATGCTCAAAACAATCTTTTAAAGTTAAGTATAAAATCATATTTAGAAGGCTTATTTTTTGAGTTACACCATACTGACAGAATAAAGATTCTCGAAGCCTCTCCAAACTCACATCAAAACTTAAGTCTGAGCATAGGTGCCTTTCAGAAGTCAATGCAAATTTCCCCCATACCTGTTCCTTCACATAATGTTTTCCACTAAGACAAAGGAAAAGTCTCTTTGAGAGGCTGGATAATGTAATCTTTTTTTTACTTTTCAACCATCCCCTAAGCTTTTTGTTAGATATTCCATTTAAGTGTTTCTCTGCCCCCTTCCAAACTTATTTTGAGTGGATTGTTGGCTTTTTTCTATTTTCTAAAAGCAAAGAGATTATGACGGACTGGTGACCTGCCTAAGATGTACCCCACCTCTTGTCCAATAACAGCTGGTGCCATCAGCCCCCACAAACTTGAATTGGATTAAGTCGTTACAGAAAATGGATTGATGGATGGCTGGTTTGGGAAGACATTAAAAACAGTCTATTGTTTGTATAAAATTTGTATTTGTTGAATGAAGTTAAATTGAATTGAAGAACTACAGGATTTACATTTTGTTGTATATCTTAAGCTTCCCATCTGCTCTGGAATTAGGGTGTGTAAGTTAGCCACTGTGGAGAATTGATTAGTAACATAGCCTTGTCCAGATGATTGCACTGTGCTTTGCAACTATTAGCCAAGTCAATATGCGGCTGTTAGCCAACAAACTGGTTACATCAGCTCATGGTAATCCAGTGAAGTGTTTGTATTCTGCCAAATTTCCGCTAAAATAAATTAACCTTCATATAATCCGGGGCTAATCAAAATAAATTAATGATGATGGGTTTATTCATTGCGTTCAAATTATTATTTTAGTTATTTTCTAAGTTTAAGTCACTCATCACCAGGACCATAATCAGCTTTTGTGTTCTTCAGGTGTCACAGAAGATTTACAAATCATGAGACCCCAACATCTGATTCAAAATAGTGAAAAAAAACCCATTTAATGATAAAAATAAAAAAAAACTTAGATATTCCTAAAGAACTCTAAAGAACTATGAAGATTTTTGTCTTTAATGGCTGCAATGTGTTTCAAGAAAGTCTGGGGATAGGAAACTAAGAGAAAAGCATTTTGGGATGCTAAATTAGAAACACCATGGTAGATCATCTAACATCTAATTGAATTAAGCCTCAAGAGTGGTTAACATAACTGAGAAAGGAAATAACTTCTCAGGGCAGTTTGGTTTTTCAGCAGTAAAAAAAAAAGAAGGGTTGGGAGGGGGCAAAAAACCAATATGGAAATCCTGTGATCTTAGGGCCCTCGGGCAGCTCCGCATTAAAAACAGACACAAATCTCCCGTGGAACTGCATGGACTCAGGAACGCGTCTGAAAGCTGTTGGCGGTAAACACAGATTGTTTCTGCTTGTAAAAAAAAGAGACCCTGTTACTAAACCGGTTCAAACCTGTCACACACTGAGAACATTTCGGCACATGGACAGCAGCTGTCGTGTTGCCTTGTGGAGGTAATGTTGTTCTTTTGACGAGGAGCCTTCGTGTTTTGGGCAACACCTTAGTGCATTTTATTCCTCACATTCTCACAGTGGTCACCTCCCTATTTTTATCAACATAATCAAATTCTGTTGTTTGTTAACATAAATCCATAAACATAAAGCACAACAGACACATATATACAGTATCATATTTTTCTACACATACTATCCTGTTAAAAGCTTCTCCTTTGTCTGTATGTTTTTGCTACAGGGGATGTACATCAAATCAACATATGATGGACTTCATGTCATCACTGGCACCACAGAGAATGTGAGTTTTTGCGTGCCCCTCTTGGAAGTTAAACACAACGCAATTTATGGCCTCGCCCGCCGTTGTGACAGTGAATCCACTGCCTCAGCATTGTCCCATTGTCCATTTTTGTGCTCCAATTTCTCCCCCTGCAGTCTCCAGCGGACCAGTGTAAGAAGATCCATGCAGGGGATGAAGTGATCCAAGTCAACCACCAGACAGTGGTGAGCGTAAAAGCCGGGACGTGTACTTCCTCCACACACCCTCTGCAGACTGCTCTTCACGCTGTGATATCTTGATGAGGCATCAGCCCACATGATAATCTACCAGCACCACCTCCGCTGCCACCACAGAACGTCCTGTCCTGTCCCTTTTGTTGCTATGTAGGCTAATTAGCCTCGCTGAGAGACCAGATTATGGGACGATTATTACAAGGCTGCGTTCGGTCCAGTGGATTGTTAGCTTTCTGAAATTTCTCCCCATTGTTGTTATAAATCCCTGAGAAAAAAGGAGCCTAGCTTGACGTTCTCCTCTCAGGGCGCTGAAGCACCGAGATGGGGAGCCATTTTAAATGGAGAAACGCCTTTTTAGATTCACTTGATCCAGCAGCCTTTTGTGCCGTTTGTGCCTTCAGCTCTGGCACAGACGATCTGTTCCGGTGTTTGTTTGAGACTTGCAAAAGAAGGGGAGAGGTTCGTGTCTGCCTGTAGACGTCTTATGTGGGCTTTTTTTGCGTACGTGCTGCCTCGTACGTCTATGTAGGCGCCGCTCACGCCGAAGCATAAGTGGAAGTGGAAGGTTCTGTGCGGCGGTGTTTGATTGATTCATGATAGAGGTGCGTGTTATCTTTGCTCTCTCCTTGGGGTGACAGTGCAGATCGCACCCTGCCAGGCTCTCAGCTTCAACCCTTTATTACCCCCCCAGCTAGACCCCTCGCCACTCTGATCCCTCACTCTGGGGGAGCAGATAAGCATGGGGGTGTGTGTGTGTGTCTGTGTGTGGTGGGGAGTCACGGGAGACTGAGACAAGGCAAGGCTGGGAGAGCGAGGCACAGAAGGAGGAGGAAGTAAAGAGCAGATGAAAAATAAAAGGAAGGGGGGAGCAGAAGAAGGAAATCTCTAGTAAACATTGTTCTCTGTTCGATTCCAAACTGAGCTGGTATGGAAGACAGATGGATGCACGGAAAACTCAGCGTCACAGTTAAAACATTTATTTAGTCAGGCTCCCCGCTCAAAAATTAGATTGCCGTGAAAATTGAAGGAAGGAATTCGCTCTAATTTACACACCCATCGTGTGGGCCTGTCCCACGTAGCAACACGGCCTTCATGGATATGCATGAGCGTCGTTTGAGATCCACTTCAAAACACCATTTGCAGTTTTTAGCTCAGCGACTCTGAAGTAAAATGTGGAATTTGCTCAAATAGCAAACTGATTGTTTGAAGAGGCAACATAATTATGTGGCGCTAATAGCATCTGGGAAAAATAATGAAGACCCCAGGGATTTTATAAATCTCTTCAGCAGCAGTTTATACTGTTAATATTTTGGTGGGTGTCTGGTGTTTCTCTCAGCACACTCTGTATTTGCATAACAGAACAGCTCTAAACTAAGCTGGTTAAAGTTGGCTTTTTGTTCGCTTTTAGTGTTGGCCACGTTCGCAGTGGTTGAGAAGTTTTTAGGTTCATTTGAGTCCAGTTCGGTTCACCTTCGGCTCATTTAGGAGAAACCGGCGGGTGCCATGAAAATACGCTTTCTTTCAGATAGCTGAGTTGAGATTGACACCTTATTATCTATTCATTCAGCTGGAAATGACAGCCAGGAGAGGATTAGCCTACCTTAGCACTGAGATTAGAAGCGGGAAGACAAACAACGCCCGCCTGAGCTAAGACGGTGATAAAACATGTTCATTAGTAAGCTTTAGGTACAGGAAGGAAGTTGTTTAGCTTCTGATAATCTGATAGGCCCGAGCCTCTTCCTTACCCCCTGCTCTCCGTCTTCACCTAAACTTACCATGCAAGTAAACTTCTTCGTTGTCAGTTGAAAAACTGCAGCATGAAACTTCAGGAAACCAGAAACTCACCAGCCTCTAATCTCAAAATCCAGCATTCAACATCCACGTGGTGATGAAAGCAGTAAAATACTGCTCATTATCTTCATGATTCCTCAGTGTGTTGCAGTCATTTCCCTCATCTGCCCCCTTCAGGTGAGCAGGTTGCTAAGATGTGTGTTCTTGCCACCCTGATGCTCGGTTACTCAGTCAGTGATTACGAAATCTGGTGTTCAAAGCTACATTTTGAAATCAGGCTCACTTTGCTGTGTCATTCTTCCCAGCAACAACGTCCAAGTTCTGAGGCAAATGGAGAGCGCCAGCTTCTTGTTTAGTGCACAGATGTGTCCTCTAACACTCTCTGGACAACGTACGATCAGTTCCTTTTAATAAATGTAGCCAGTGTACTCAGATAGCATCCATCTTCATCTCTGAAAATAGTTGGTGAGGCACAGCCGGACAGCTGGAATTGATAAATCACTACGCAAATGAAAAATCACAGTCCTGGAGAACGCGTCCTTGCGTTCCTCCTTTTCTGGTTCAGGGATGCAGAGGAGGACGGAACACACTGTTCCGCACCAAATCGTGCTCGACCCAGGATTTTGTGGCCAACGAGTGCTTGTTGAATCCAGGGCCCTGAACTGGACCAAGGAAAACAACAATCGGGCCACTACAGGCTGACTCAGGCCGGTCGGTCATCATTATGTCGGGACACAGGGTCAGAGCAGATCTGTCTGTGTGAGGGGAGGAAGCGCGTATGCGCCTGTCGCGGCCTCTGCGGACGCTTCCAGTAACCGAGACCAGTGTTGCCAATCAATGGCCTGACGAGTGCTGCGAGCTCTGGAGACAGGAAGGCCAGCGCTGTGAAGAAACGCCGCAGTCAGCACTCCTCTGGAGCTCTTGTCCCGCCTCCCTTTGAGTCAGATCATAAATGTACTGGCCGACCATTTATTTTATGACGGCGCTGTTTTGGGACCTCTAGCCATTGCCTCATTGCGGACCGGAGTACAGCCTTAGCTGCAACTAAATATTTATCCTAATATTCCGCTCACGTCTTCTTTAGAAGGGGTTTTTGTATTGTTATAATATCATAATATCCATCCCATGAATGTTTAATCAAATGAACAATAAATTAATTAATTAAACGTTCAACATCAGAAGTGCAATTTTGGTTGTTCCTATGTTTGGAGAACCGACTCCTTCTTGCACATTTTACCTGGGAATGTGAATATCTGGTGGTTTACAGCCATTGCTTTGGTAACCCAGTGTGTTTATTCACCAGGTGGGATGGCAGCTGAAGAACCTGGTGAATGCTCTAAGAGAAGACCCCTGTGGAGTGATCCTCACGCTAAAGAAAAGGCCTCAGAACACCCTGAGCTCCACACCGGCACTGCTCAGGAACGTCCGCTGGAAACCGCTGGGCCTGCAGGTAGACTCCAGCTTACCGCATGAACACAAACATATTGTCTACACTCAAGCCTTCTTCTTTCTGGCTGTTCAATGACACTGTGAGTCCACCAAACTACTCAACTCACAGTTGGAAGGAGAGACATATGGCCCATGCTACATTCTCTTGATGGACCCTTTTGATAGAGGGTAGTTGGACAGTTTGATTTTCAACCATATTACTTCTTATGAATTAGAAAATCATGCTGGTTAGCCTACCTACCTACCTACCTACCTACCTACCTACCTACCTACCTACCT